TAGTAATAGTCTTGTTCCGTTCGTATTCGTACTACTAATAATTAATTAATTAGTAAAGAATATTTACTAGTTAGTTGTGTGTGTGTGTGTGCTCGTATATATATATATATATATATATATATATATATATATATATATCTATTTATATAATTTTTATTCTTTCCTGAACAATTGTTACAAGTTTTTTAGATATATAATGTTTTACATTTTACTTTTTAGATGTTTTCACTTGCTCTTTCTCTTCATATATTTTTTAGCACACAAATGTGTTCATAAATTTTTGCATTCTAGCTAGTTTATGTATTCTAATATGCCTACTGGTTTATATATTTATTCTATTCTACCAAGCCTTTTTAAACATATTTCTTAGATGGACTAGAAGATAATTTACTGTACCTCTGTTGAATGATAAAAGACACATGAGGAATATGGTTAGTTGAGAGAGCAAAGGATTAATGTAGATTTATTGTATAAAGAAGTAAGCTGAGAATTTGATGCACTGAATGATGAGAGAATGAGAGATTAGATGTATATCTGTTGAATAAAAAAGGAAGCAGAGAACTTATGTTAATGTAATGAATGATGAAGATAACAGAAAATTTAATATAATTTGCTGGATAATTAAAGAAACAAAAAATTAAACTTACATTTGTTGGATGATAAATGAAGCAGAGAAACTGATTTTTATTTATCTATAGACACGTTTTTGTTGATGAATCACAGTAAGTCAAAACAAGTTATTTTTCTTATTTTGTTTATTTATGGCATTAAACATTGGTCTGCATCTAAATATTTTACAATGAAGTAAAACTATCAGTTACTTGCGTATTCTCTCTGGTACACAAAATATTTTCTCAAGTAAAAAAAAACAAAAATCTTTGATCCTACACACACACAAATATATATATTTAAACTGAGTGAAATGTGAATGAAATTATCTAGCTTATCTAGGGTTAATGATACAAACAGAATTCTAGGTAATAAACATGGAGGGTAAACTTTAGAGAGAGAGAAAGATTTATCTATGCAATCTGCAGCGAAGTAAGCATATTTTCAACAGTCTTCAACTGAGAGTCATCACACAGCTGTTCCTGTAAGAAGAAAACAGTACAAATAGTATGGAAAAACAACCTAACAAAACAGAAAGGTAAAATGTAATGACAGAACTTTTAACTCTGTGTGAACAGTGTTGGTGCTCTTCATCAAACCAGTTTCTATGAAGATATACGTAGGAATGTGTACTATAATTCTAAATTTACTAAGTATATCAATGTGTACTATAATTCCAAATTTACTAAGTATATCAATGTGTACTATAATTCTAAATTTACTAAGTATATCAATGTGTACTATAATTCTAAATTTACTAAGTATATCAATGTGTACTATAATTCTAAATTTACTAAATATATCAATGTGTACTATAATTCCAAATTTACTAAATATATCAATGTGTACTATGATTCTAAATTTACTAAGTATATCAATATGTACTATAATTCTAAATTTACTAAGTATATCAATGTGTACTATAATTTTAAATTTACTAAGTATATCAATGTGTACTATAATTCCAAATTTACTAAGTATATCAATGTGTACTATAATTCTAAATTTACTAAGTATATCAATGTGTACTATAATTCTCATTGAAAGCTATGGAAAGATGAGAAGCCTCAATGGTGGATGTTAAATATTTATTTATATCTCACTAATTCAAGAACATGGGGGGGTTAGATTTTATATTATGACCCCTCAATACCTATAGTCTGAGTTTCTGATAGGGAAAGGAGAAAATCAAAAATAAGAGAATAAATGGGGATCAAATAACACACATAAGTCAAGAATAAGAATTTATTTAAACATTTCCTTTTGAAATTAAGAATTTAAAACATAGATAATATAAAACCTTGAATTACAAACTATATTTTTATGTTAAGTTCACTGACATTCATTGATAATAGTTATTTAATTCAATTTCGAATGAAACTCTGTGGAAAGGTCTTAGCATGCACACTTTAACCCCCATGCCATAAACACAAGGTTAAAAACATTGGGAGTATATGCCAATACAAAACTCCTCTTAACTTATTTACTTATCTTGATCTGATAATTTGAAAAAAATATTTGTTTGTTTTCTGGGAGGAGGGATTTATGAAATTTTGTACTAGTACTACACTCTGGGTTCACTATGAATATAGAAAATAACAATTAATGTACTGTAAAGCTTCACATGGTGGGATTAGTCATCAGGTGTGACATTGCACCTTCATATTTACTGGAATTATCATCATTGTTTATTTGGTGACATCAACCTTCACTGTTTTTAACTTTCATAGCTCAAGATTCTACCTAATTCTGTCTACGATAAATAATTTGGTGAAGGTTTTTGTTGCAAGCTTAGTTTTCTGGTCAATAAAATACAGATAAAAAAGTGAAACTGATCATAGGTGGTACTGAAGATTAGTAAGTTAGGGTTCATGTTAGTAGAATAACTGAAAACTGAGATAGGTGGTATTGAATAACTTACTAATCGGGATCTATGTTAGT